ACACACACACGCAAACACACACACACACACACACACACAGTCACGGATCTGCACCGGCTGTGTCCTGGAGAGAGCCACCCAAAGAAATGTAAAATGAGAAGAAACAAAGCAAAACAAAACAACAACAACAAAAAAACTGGAATCAGCCACATGGCCCTAAAACTTGGAGACTGCCCTTTTGAGAACTCTCTTCTTTTTAATCTCTGACTACAGAACACAGGAACCAGAAGTAGCTGGTCAGGGAAACATAGGGCACGTGTTCCTTCGTGTGTGTGTGTGTGTGTGTGTGTGTGTGTGTGTGTGTGTGTGTTAAGCCTCTAAGTGCACTGAGAACCTCACATCATCAAAGAGGACACGAGGCCCCTGGAGGTAAATGGACGCTGTCAGAGCCCCTCACTGGCAGTGCGATGTCGACAGCCTTACGGGGACAGGGAGTCCTTGTGTTCCCACCTTGTCATTCCGGAAGAGCTCAGCTGTGAGCAGGGCTTTCCTGGGGGAGGCGGAGCCAGTACAGTCCACGCCCGAGAAGTCAGGATGGCTGTGGTGGAGATGGACCCACCACAAAAGTTTCTATCTGGAAACTTTTCATATTGAAACCTTTTCTTTTTCTTTTTTGCTGAAAAATCAAACTCACTGAAAATGCAGGCTCACTGAGCAATTCTTTTATGCCACTTTTCTTCATGTCCTCCCGTGGGCTGGTGGAACTAAGGTCGTGGAGGAGTTTGAGAGACTTCCTAGGCATCCATGAGGAGCAAGGACGTGCCCCCCTCACCCCAGCCCACCCCACAGCAGGCTTCAGCCCTGGCTGGGGGCTGGTCTTCCTCTCTGCTTGAGAGCCCATGAGAGGGCTCCGAGGGGGCCTCTTCCCTTCTCCGCAGACTCTCCCATCGGGCATCTCTTTACACCCGAGCTTTTACAGGTCAACGCTGCACGGATGCCAACACGGCTGCCGCCAGCCTGCGGCCCAGGCCCAGGCTAGACGTGACGGAGGGTGAACTCCTGGTGACCCTCTCCAACACGGTCCACTAGGACCTCCCAGCTGACTGACCGGGCCTCTCTCACGCCACACTTTCCCAACACCCAGCCCTGTCAGCTCTGTGGGTGTCGGTCAGCCATGATCTGAGGACATCCTACTGTTCCTTCGCTTTAGCCTGCGCATCCTCCTCGGGGCCTCTGATAAACATGTGTCACACGGACGTGAAGACGCCCTCACGCTGCCGAAAGAACACCACTTGAGCAAGGGTGCCGCTCAAGGTCACACGGAAGACGAGGGACACAGCTGGGATGGGCCCAGCCCTACCTCCCAGGACCGCCATCGGCAAACTGTCAAGATCCCTCACAGCAATTTAAAAATCCTCCGAGAGCCCTAAAGATACTTTGACAAACCAGTATGCAAACAAAAGCCTTTAAAATTTTTCAATTTTACTTCAGAGCCGTAGCATGTACCCAAAGAGTCACACACTAGCCTGAGAGCCTCAGTTTGCCGAACAGTGCTCTCCAGACTGAGCTCTGCGCCACAAAGCAGCATCCGCTTCTCGGGTACTTCCTTCACGGAGTACTAAGGAGCACACTGGGTATTTCCAACTCACTGTCTTCACTGAGTGCTAAGGAGCACACTGAGTATTTCCCGCCTTCCCTGGGTATTTCCTTCACCGAGTACTAAGGAGCACACTGAGTATTTCCCGCCTTCCCTGGGTATTTCCTTCACCGAGTACTAAGGAGCACACTGAGTAGTTCCTTCACGGAGTACTAAGGAGCACACTGAGTATTTCCCGCCTTCCCTGGGTATTTCCTTCACTGAGTACTAAGGAGCACACTGAGTACTTCCTTCACGGCGTACTAAGTAACTCACTGTCTTCACGGAGTACTAAGGAGCACACTGAGTATTTCCTTCAAGGCGTACTAAGTAACTCTCTGTCTTCACTGAGTACTAAGGAGCACACTGAGTATTTCCCGCCTTCCCTGGGTATTTCCTTCACCGAGTACTAAGGAGCACACTGAGTATTTCCTTCACGGAGTACTAAGGAGCACACTGAGTAGTTCCTTCACGGAGTACTAAGGAGCACACTGAGTAGTTCC